TGAAGTGTTCAAGCATTTCTAGAATAATGACCCATTTGAAGAGTTACTTTCAGGTTTTAGAACTCCTTGTTTCACTAAAACATTCCCCATCAGTCACCGATTATATTCTCACAGCATCACATAATGGACTTGTCATGTTAGGTCTCAGTGCGGCAATTGATACAGTATAGTCTTAGAAAGGCTTGAGCCTGTTTTGGATGTAGAGAACAGCGCTAGGCTGGTTTAAATTTTATAAAATGGATTCTTTATAAAATGAAGAACATTATCGATAACTAAGTTCTCGGAAGTGTCTTCATCTCAAGTGTGGTATGCAGTATCTTACCTATTCCTAGTACTGTGGTCTTTTTGACTGAGATGTCTGATGTTTCTCCAGGTATCTTTTGGAGGCTGACTCCTGTCTGGGGGTTACTGCCCTGCCTATAGTTACCTTCACCTTTAAGGCTCTCTCTAGTTCTTTCCTGAGCTCTTGGTATTTGTCTTGTTTCTCTTATCCTTTTTTCTATAATTTGCAGCTATTCTTGGGCTGACTTCTCAGATCTTGCCCTACTTGTTGCACGTATTTAGCTGCTGCTGCTTTCCCTGTAGCCTCTTCAGGGTTGCCATTTGCCTGAGGTATTTCAAGGTACTTATAGCTCTCTTCTATATCTGCTATTCTCCCTTCTGGGAGCGAAATCCCTTCAGTGTGGATTCGCTTTCTTCTTTTTTTTCAGTGTTCGGCCACATTTCTCCAGCCCAGGTGGTATGCTGATGTCCTGCTGTAGATCCTGCTGGTGTGGAGAAGTGAGACAATGTATCACTCACTCTTAGCATTTAGCTTGCAGTCATCCATTTACCGGAAGTGGCTGATAGTGGCCATGTTTCTGAGCTGGGATCCATAGCGAGTGTTATTTGGTTGAGGGGGTTCAGTCCTATGCAGAACTACAGAGGGTCAATGTGTGTGGCAATGACTAACAGGCTTTTTTGTGCACAGGTTTGTTTGTCTGGTTTTGAGCACTTGGGTGACTGTTTAGTCAACCAACAGTTGGTGTTTGGATCCTACTCCCAAACACCGACTCTACCTCTAGAACCGAGCTCAAAACTTTCTTTTTTGATAAAGCTTATAGTTAGAGTGGCTCATGCTTCTATAGGCTTAGACCGCTGGAGGATATAAAGACCACTTTATGTTTCTCTGTTACATTTTCTTATAACTTTTAGTTATGCATTATCTTATTTCAACTTAACTATATGCTCTGTCTTTTATTAGCTCCACCTGCCCTGGTTCTGCTCAGCTCTTGCGGTAAAAGAAGGGAATCAGCTGGGCAGCCAGTTACATTCTGTTCTCCTTATAAATGATTTACATGGTCCTGTCTTTCAGTGGATAACTCTCCCTCAAATGTAGCTACTGGCCTACCTTTTACTTTGAATAACTGAATGTGCTCTTTCATCATTTATTCCATCTTATTTATTTTCATCGGTTTAGTTGTGTTTCTCTTGTTGAAATAACAGGAGCTACTACTGGGATTAACTTTCTTTCTCTAACATGGAAAGTATTCCCAAATCAAGGCTTCTAGGTTCTTTTTGTGTCTCTGCTGTGTCTGCTTGAAACCCCAGAAAGTCACAGGAGATGCCTGTTTACTCTAATCCTGGTTCTGCTGGAGGTTTTTCCAATTAAAATGGAGTTTTACTCTCCACCCTAATACTCTAGATTAGGGATTGCTGCAAAGGCAATGACCCAATGCATGCAACATTCATTATTGCCATGTACTGATGGAGGATAATTAAATTCTGCAAGTCAAGGATTTGATGCAATTTTAACTGCATGCAATCTACTAAGTTTCTTTAGATTAAAATAAAAAACTTTTGAGCTAATCACCTGGAAGAGCAGTCGGGTTTTTCAGACAGGTTTCATGAGTGATGAAATATTTTCTTTGTCTCCTCTGACTGACTGCAGGACGATGGCAAAGTGACAACAGCCCTGATAGATGCGTTCCGACGTCTAGACTATGATGTGTCATTGGAGGCTCAAGTACACCTGTCCCTGTCCTCACCCAGGTGTGTCTTTCAGAATCATCAGACCTCAATGAACAGCTCTAAGAGTTTAGTAAATATCAATAGGAAGAGGCAGAGGGTCTGCTGCCCATGAATCCAGACCGTTGTTCCAACTCCAAACAGCAGTTGGAGTCGGTCCTTTGTCCCTGATGGTGTTCTGAGGTCAAGCTAAAGTATGTGGATCAAGGTACTGATTGGTGCTCCTCCCTGTTGCTCTGGACTGACCTGATATTAGCAACATCAATTAGATCTAGGAATATTTTGTAGTTTGCAATGATTTTAGTCAGAACTGTTAAGAAATCTACACAAGTGCTCTACACAAGTGCTGGATTTGTGTTTTAAGAAGAAACTAAAATTAGCCAAACTCAGTTTCTTTTTTCTCTCATTAACTTTTTTCTGTCCGTCCACAGGCGAGTCTCTATCCCTGGGGAAGGCTTATCCCTGTCCTCTCCCATCCGGGTGGCCCTGTCAGGATCCACTGCTTGTGTTGTGCACATCTCCAATGGTGTCCTGCATGTGGCCAACCTAGGTGACAGTCGGGCTGTCCTTGGTGTCCAGGAAGGGGACCAGCGTTGGTCGGCACTCAGCCTCACCAACGACCACAATGCTCAGAACCCTGAAGAGCTGCAAAGAATTTATGGGGAGCACCCAGCTTCAGAGAGGAGGACATTGGTCCGACATGACCGGCTGCTGGGTCTGCTGCTGCCCTTCAGGGCGTTTGGAGATGTTCGCTTCAAATGGAGCGCCGAGATGTTGAGTCGACTCTATGACACGCGTCCGGATGTCCTTTCTGCGATCAGTGAGTCAGTGCGGACGCTGCCACCTCATTACCTGACCCCGCCCTATCTGAGTGCCCAGCCTGAGGTCACTCGACACCTAATCAGACCCGAGGACAAGTTCCTGGTTCTGGCAACGGATGGATTGTGGGAACTGATGCACAGACAGACGGTTGTCCAGCTGGTTGGAGAACATCAGGCAGGTCAGGAGACATCTGGACCGGTTTATTTTAATGTTTGTCAGAAACATGAAATTAAAATCAGGAATTTAATCATTGTAGATACTTTTAGAACTTATATTCTGTGTGACTACAGAAGCTGAGGGAGGACAACCAAGCAGGAGGTAACCCACAGAGAAGACTGTAACTAATGCATCTAGGGTTACATTTGGTTGTTATTCAGGAAGAGGATTTGCTGTGTATCAACGATGTCCTAGACTAAAGTTCCGGTTTTGCAGGGTCATAAGAACTTCCTTTCCCAGCTATTGCAATAGTGCAGGTGTGGAGTTACTGGAGCTTTGGTTCAGATCAGCTGATGGAGGCAGGGACCTCATCCTGACAGGAACACCCTAACTTGGATACCTTTGTCAAAGCACTGCAAGTACAGATAGAGCCGTCACATGGTTATTAAACAAAGCCGTAGAGTTGGTGGGTGAAATATAGCTGCTCTTTACATCTTTGGCCAACTGAGGTCACTAAAGATGGCTGTTAAAAAGCTTTTAGTAATTAAAAAGTTGAATTAATTCTTCCGAAAGGTTCTTTTGTCAATCAGCTGATGAGATCTGGTTGTGGTGTTGTTCAGGTCTTCAGCAGCAGAGGCCCATCATTCCGAGTGCCGACATGACCCTGGGCAGCCTGCAGCGGCTGCTGCTAGAGAGGAGAGGCCGTGTCCAGTCAGTCCTGGAGGACCAGAACCCTGCAACCCATCTGCTCCGCCATGCGCTGGGTGATGATGGGTATGGATCCGTGGCACAAAACCGGCTGGCCAGGATGCTGAGTCTGCCGGTGGATCTGGCCCGCAGGTACCGTGATGACATCACCATCACCGTGATCCAACTGAATGAGCTCTGAGGTCGCCTGCTATCACCTGCTATGGTGCCAATTCAGAACAGGCTTCTTTCTGATGAACTGGACTGGTGTGGCTCCGCTACGAACGTCTACAGGATCAGAACCTGTTACTTGATGTTAAAAGAGAGGAACCAGCCCTCAGATCATGTTTAGACACTGATGGAAACCCAAGTTTTTGTATCCAAATCTTATTCTAGGCCGGAGGTGTCAACAAGTTCAACCTTCCAAAGGACGCTGGTGTTTTAATTGGACCTGTCACCAAAGGACAATTGCAGTTACGTAACAAAGGGGTTCTAAATCTATAATTTGTTCCACGTTCTGGAGATGAAAGAAGGAAACTCAAGAGGCCCATTTAATATCAAACTTAAATAATGTCCTAATCAATAATAAGGTTTTTACACTGTTACCTGAGGCTAATTTAACACCAGCCAGGAAAAGCGACTAAATGACCAGCTTACTTTTCAAAGACAATAACTTAAATTAATGGGTCAGTTTCTATAGAAGTTATAGACAAATAAAGGGTCTCATCAGAATAACAGTGGAAATGAATCCCATGCTATCAGATATTGAGGATGTAGATCAGAATGTCCAGGTTCTGAGAAGCTTAATGAATGGAGAGCGTTTGGTGACAGAAGGACACCTTGAAATGGGAGGGATGGTCAGCATAAATAACCCGGTTGACATGTTTATTTTGAATTTAAGAGCAACATCTCCTCTTTTCCCTTAATTAAACAGTTGAGAGGGATTTTCTTCCATTTCAAGAAACTAACTTCTACTTGAAGTAAAATCTTGATTTAGTAGTTTTTAACTTTTTAGTAACATTTAAGACTGATAATTATATTATATTTCACTAAATTTGATCAAAGTTTGAGTACATATTTAGTGTCCATACCTGAATAGCATCACCTACTGCACAGGAATGACCTGGTGCAACATGTCAGTCATCTTGGGGGCAATCAGATGACAAAGGTGCTATGCTTCAGTCGCAGACTTCATCTACACAATGAGGGATGTTTGATGTAAAATACAGCAAACAAGAAAAACCACTACAGTGAGATCAGAGACTCAAACCTGCCTAAATAAAAGTTATTGGACAGCACCTATTTAGACTCATGTCTGCATCAGGTCAGTAGATGTTTCAGTGTGAAACTGCTCATGAACTTGACCTGCTGCTCAGACAGCTCAGTAGTTGCGTTTCCATTAACCAAACTGTGAAAATTTTAAGTATGAAAATAAATTTGTTAAATGGAAACACTGCAATAAAAAAAAAAAAAAATGGGGGGAGGTTTCGGGTCGTATCAGAATTGTTATATTTCCCAAAAGTGAAATGGGAGCTCCTTTTTCACATCAAACAAGTCATTGGATCTGGACCACAGATCTCCATTTATTCACAGAATTGCTGGTAGCCCGTTGGTAGTACGGGGTGGAGTGAAGCCATAGGCCGCCATATTGGTGCTCCCTAGTTAGATCAGTCGCAATGTAAACAATATGTGTGCTACAGCATTGAACAACGACCATCATCTCATTTTCAGGGGGTTTAACACTTTTAAAATAAAGATAGTCATACCTTTGACACAATTCCTGTTTCATAGCATCTGTAGATTACTAATTTATGGTAAACAAAAAAAAAAAAAATAGGCACATCACATGCATAGTCAGTATAAAGGCAATGAAGTCTATAAATCATGTTATATAACTTATGCGAATGCGTTAATGAAGCATAATACAAATGTGAAAAAAGTGCTAAATTGATGTAACTGTAATATACATGTATTGATGACATTATTATGGTGATTACATATTACATCAGCACTGATTTACAAGGACATGTCTGTTAATGCTATAGTATTTTCCTCTTTGCAAATTATGCATGAATGATGTCGTATAATTTTATGCTGCGTCTGTGCGTTAGCCTTTAAAAATGTTTGACTTGCTTTTTTTTCCGTCAATGTAACATACGTTTTGGCACAGGACTTTTTCAAATGAGAAATACAGCAAGCACTACAAAAAGGAGTGTGTCATCCACTTAAGAATTACTACATTGACATTACAAAGTGATTTACTTTATTTTTACTCCACTTTTTTTTCCCCCAACATTAGACACAATCTCAATGGCTAACTCAGTCAATATCTTCGAGTCAGTCAGAAATAGCCTGACTAATGTTAAGCTACATAATTTACTATGGGATACATCGGTGTATATATATATATATATATATATATA